CCATCATTTTTCTAATGGTCCGTCCCTAGCTATTATGTGCTCATTTGTTATCATGTGCTCATTAATTCTTATATCAATATTGGAACATGATCATGGAATACTGCGTAGCGCAAAATCTCCATTCTTCAAAAACGTATCGTTCAAGGCAACTGAAAGGCGAAGAAGACAATGATATATTATATCTGACTGCTTCACTACTCAGAAATGATCCACGATTATGATTTGATAAAGTTCAATATGGTCACGTGATTTTCGGTGTGAACCTGAGATACTATCTATAAATATTATTACTAAGTATCTGACATTAAACTAAATGTGATTAAAGCACAAGAGATGTTACCTATGTCTCATTTTATATTTTTATTTTTTTCCTATGAAGGTTTGTTACTTGTGCAAAAGCGCAACTTTAATTAGGTTTCAAATAGTTTCTGCCTTCTGCTTTTTGTTGTCGAATTATTAATTTTCTTTGGATAAATCTACCGCTGAAACTGTTCTATACGAACTCTCTTGCTTCCCATTCCCTTGTCTATTACACCATAGCCAATCTCGTTCCCCGAGCCTGCGATCCTCGGGAAGGAAACGAAGGCTCTGGGATAATCCGTTGCCGAAAGCCAGGAATTCTGGCTAAGATTGAACTGCACATTCCATATCAACGGCCAATCAGATTCCTCCCTGAAACGGATTATCCCAGAGCCTTCGTTTCCTTCCCAAGGACCGCAGGCTCAGGGAACGAGATTGCACCATAGCACGCATATCATGATTTTCAGGTCAGTGTGAACGCCTGAGTAGGCGTCTTGTTGTTCTTAAAACTCTTTCTTGACAGGCCGGTTTCGCATTACATTTCGATTCAATTTTTCTAATATAAATATCTCGGCGAGTATTTACCCCCCTTTTAAATAAATGCCACCATTGAAATCCTCATAAAATAACCTTTCGAACGGGGGGTCAAGTGCCGTCAAAACATTACACAAAGCGAAACAATCATATATTTACTCACCGCTTGACCAAAGATTCTAAATTTCATATCCACAATATCTTGAATACCCCTTGAACTTTTCGTCATTTGCTGAACGGCTATACGTGTAAAATACTCTCTGTATTCAAGCGCTTTCGTGTAGAAAGTTTCGTATATTTACGCCGACTAGAAATATTTATTTTGAATTTTTCAAGATGTCGGGTTTTACTCGCACTTGCGTACATTGCGCAATAATTGGCCAATAAGAAGCTCCTTTGGCCGGGATGACGTCAAACTCACGCGTGTAGGTGCAATTTGACCTTGCGAACCATTTCTGGCCTTTCCAGGGTCATACGATACAAACGCCACATTGTTTTGACGGTTTTCAGTCGTATTTCCGGTTGGGATTAATTCACTTCGAGCTCACAGTCGGACAAGAAATGGAAATATATTGATAAAAGATACAGATTTGTAGATTCAGGGTTGCAAATAACACTCCAAAAACACTATTTAATGGGGATTCGAACAAGACTATTACAAAGACGATAGAGGGCCCCCTATACTTTTTGCGTGAAGCGTGAAGGGCTTATTTTCTTAGCCGTGAAACGTGATCGGGCCCCCTATAATTTTTGCGTGAAGCGTGAAGGGCTTATTTTACTTAGCCGTGAAACGTGATCGATGATTTTCTTAATCCGTGACTCGTGAAAAGGCAAAATATTTTTACGTGAAAGCATATTATGAAGAGGTATAGGGGGCCCTCACGATATGTTCGATGGGGCCGAAGTTATTTTCGGCGAAAGGTATGGCTAGTCTATAATAATCTGTATTTTTGTTCAGACAATTGCGTAATTTGATACATTATGATCGTTTTGACTTTCAAAGGCCCATAAATCGTCACAATACTAATAATGACTATAACTATCGTTTGGAACTAGTTGATATTTTATTTCTGAATCGAATGGTGGTATTTCTGTCTTCATAGCATGCACTGAACCGAAAGTATGAAATTTCGAGCCGTCGATCGCTCGCGATCGACGCGAATTGGGCCTGTTGACTTAGAAGCTGTTCACATGAGTTTGACTCTGACCCAGCACCCTTGGCTAGCTCCCGTTGCCCGATCACAAGTAGAAAACCTCCAACCCCCTCTGACAAATCAGTCCAGATCTGCCCAAGAGGCAGGATTTTCTGGAATATTATTAGCAGTGAAATTGTTGCATATTTTCAAGCATGCATTGTAACCTGATTTTAAAGCCTGTTTGAACATCAGACATTGTGGCAATGGCAAGATGGTCCAGCCATATGAATACAATCTTAAAATATCATAAAAATACAATGCAATTTATGGCCAGACAGCCCAACTCCTGCGAACAGCCCTTTATTACACATGCGAAGCATCTCTTGAGGCATCAAAGTACATGCAGGCACATGGAATTACATACGAGTATGTGACATAAGCCCGCCATTGCACAACTTTGTCTGCAACAATGCAAATACAACAATGCAAATACAATCAAGCTGGAAACGGATTTTATCAGTATTTTGATATATACATTATGACTCATGTCTAAAGACACCTGCACTTTCATATTGAAATTGTTCTAATATCATCCAAACAAAACACATCAGAAAACTGTAACATCAGCCAAATGAGCAAATCACTTTTTTAACACAATTTATGGTAAAATGAAGCAACATGTTTTATTTTATTTATTTTACAAGATTCGCCAAACATAACAGACATAAATAAGACTAATACTTTACAAAATTTACATACAATTCGGGCAGGGACTAGCCACAGAGATAATCTCCAATTATGGGGTCCCTCACAATAAGTTACAATATATAACATTAAAACGAATTATGCTAAAATGTCAACAACATGTCCTCACTAATAAACTATCAAGAGACCGAGTTGAGTGGCATTTGACGCACACAGACTTAAATGTTCTAGGATTGTCCGGGTTGTATATTTGTTCTAAAAGGTTTAAGTAGTAATTGAATAAAGAGATTTTAAAGTAAGCTAATGATCTTGAAGTGTCACGAATATTGCTAGGGAGAATGTTCCATACGCTAGGCGCTCTCACATAGAAATTGTTCTTGTAGCTAACTGTCCTGCATCGAGATACATTAAGAAGAATACCATTGACAGGGTCAGCGTTTCTAGTCGTCCGGGTGGTTGTTCGTATTGACACATTGACATCGTTGCTTAGAATACTCTTGTAAAGAAAAACTAAGTCTAGAAATTCGTGCCAATAGCAGACCGGGAGAATACCGATAACCAGTAGTCGTTCCCTGTATGTTGTGGCTGTTCTGTAAGGAAGGGAAAGGATGAATTTGGTCGCGCGACGTTGAACCCGTTCTATTGACAGTATGTCGCTGACAGTTTGAGGTGCCCACACCTGGCTGGCATATCCTAACTTGCTGCGCACTAAGGACAGGTACAACACCTTTCGCACGTGGATGTTATGCGTGTCGGAGGCTGTTCGACGAATGAAGCCTAGCATTGAGCTCGCTTTTGATGTTATTTCCTCAACCTGTTTCGTCCACTTGAGATCTTTTGTGACAACAATCCCAAGGTCTTTTTGATGACATAGTTGCCTCAGAGAACTATCCAGTAGTTTATAATTTGTTGTGACTGGTTGGCGACTTCTTGTGAAGCTCATTACTCCGCATTTAGACTTATTTAAGTCCATCTTCCAGATAGTACACCAGTTCACGAGATTATTGAGATCATTCTGCAGACTTTCGCAATCGGGTAAATCTTTCACCGGACAGTTGCACTTGGTATCATCGGCAAACATTGCCACAGTTGATTCGCCCGAGATGGAATGTGGAAGATCGTTCACATATACTAGGAAAAGGAGGGGCCCCAAGATTGATCCCTGAGGAACTCCAGACAGTACAGGGAGTGTACCCGAGGTCTCACCCAGAACAGTGACTCTCTGGTAGCGGCCGGAGAGATAATTTTCAAACCAACTTAGTAGGTCACCTCTTATTCCAAACTTGTGAAGTTTAATCAACAAAAGCTTATGACTAACCTTGTCAAACGCTTTTGCAAAGTCCAAATACACAGCGTCGACTTGGTTTCGACTCTCCAACGCTTGGTGAATATCCTGGAGAACGTGCAGAAGCTGTGAGGTGGTTGACTTGCCTCTGAGGAAACCGAATTGTAGATGGTGGAGTTGAGTGGAAATGTGTGATACGAGTTGGTTGTAGACGCAACGTTCGAAGACTTTGGAGACCAGGGACAATAGAGATATTGGTCGATAGTTTGATACATCTTCAGCTGGACCTTTCTTTGGGATTGGAACAATATTGGAGAGTTTCCACTCATTTGGAAGTTTACCCAGAGATAAACTCTTGTTGAAGAGATCACATAGCGATAAATAAATACTGGACGCACAGTTTTTGAGGAGTTTCGTAATAGTATCTGAAACAAAACCAAATCACATATTATTCAAAAGTTGTAAACACTGTTGCATATATAATATAACAAAATATCGTCGCATTTCTAGTGGTAACTAACTATAAATTAGGCCAATTTAAACTCGACTATGAAGAATATCAAAAACTAAAGGTCATGTTTCCAGACCTCTCAACTTTGCAGAGAAGTTAAGAGGGAGATTGGGGATGTGGATGACACCTTTATAAAAGTCCGGGGGTCCGAAATGGCATTTCGTACATGATGAGAGTTGGCCGTTCTTTTTAATGAAATACATTGCTTCATGACATCCTTTAAGACAAGGAACTTTAGTTACAATAACTGTATTTCCGCGACATACACATTGGCGTAGCCAGGCCTTCATTTTTTTTGGGGGGGGGGGCGAAGCGAACGCCGAAGGTGCGAGACCATCTAGGGGGTTCCGGGGCATGCACCCCGGGAAAATTTTGAAATCTAGAGTCCCTGAAATGCGATTTCAAGCATTTTGGGGGTGAAATCTTGCAGAATTCCGAAGATTATAAAGTACATCGAAGACATAAATTTTCCCAGACATTTCTAGTTTTCTACTCGGAATTAAATAAATTGGAACAGTCACCTTGAAAAACAGGAGGAGCCGGTCAGCGTCACCTTATTTCCCCTCTGTGCCGCTTGGGGAAGAAAATCCCAATGTGATTTTGATCAGAAATGTTTCAAACCGTTTCTGCCATTAGTCCATTGTATTGCTATTGCCTTTCATTTAAAAAATAAGACGCATCATAATTCTTTAGTTTATATAATGCTATTCAATTTGAAAACTGAGAAATAATCAAGATGAGTAATCATTGATTAGTAATCAAGCTCTCCGAAACAACACAACTCTAGAGTCTAGATTAATATTGCTTTAATTAACTGTAGGCTGTTACTGCGATTATATTTTCGATTTCCGATCCGTATAATGATTAATAATGTGCCTTTAAGAATACAATATTATATTATTGAAAAAATTCTATGAAACTGCTATATGCGTGAGATTTACTAAACGTGGCGTGAGAGCGTGAGAGTGAAGCGAATTGCGTGAGACTCACGCCGAATGCGTGAGAGTTGAGAGGTCTGCGTTTCAGCTTATAAACCCAGACTTTAGTTTTGTAAATATAAACATTATAAACGCTATACGAAGCCAAATATGAAGGCACAGACACAGTTTGCCCTAAATACTCGGTCAGAGCCTCAGAGGGGTGTTCTAGTACACAATTGATCTCGTTTAAAACAAACAATAATACTAACCTTCGACAAATTGTGTATAAATCTTATCGAATTTAACCATTTTGCCACAGATTTTGCCAAAAATATTTCTTAGACGTACAAAGTATTAATAATGGACACTCCTTGCATGAAATATCAATTTATCCCAACGTTTGAATAAATTAATCCAAGATTGCATTATTTGCATAATAATATACTTGTCATTGACCAATCAGAATACATTGAAGACCGGCCGGTGCCAGGGCCTTTTCCCGCCTTCCCAATGACAAAAAGGGAAAAGCCCTGGGAACGAGGTTGCAAAGTTCGAAAAATCCGCCATTTTGTTCTATTTTTAGTAACAAGATGGCCGATTTTTCGAACTTTGAACCAGTCTATCTTTGCAGCGAATGGTCATATTTCGAAACAGACTTCAGTTTCAAGATTGCTACAGCATGGTCTTCCAAATAAATAAATAATATTAGTCATTCCTAATTTTTAAATTTTTGGCGCCAAGTTTGTGACGTCATTTTCCCGCCAAAAAATAAAAAATCCAAAAACAAAAATGACACGATTTGTAAGAATGATATGTTCTATGTTTGTGGAAAATTTCGTGCAATCAGGATGAAAATTTAAAAAGTTAGAACACCTCTGGCGATTTTGGACTACTTTTTGCCAGGCGTGATCTTAGGATATCATACAGTATTTTAGGATATCTTACAGTATCTTAGGATATCATACAGTATCTTAGGATATCATACAACATCTTAGGATATCATACAGTATCTTACGATATCATACAATATCTTAGGATATCATACAGTATCTTAGGATATCACACAGTATCTTAGGATATCAATAACTCGGATGATGAAAGCAGCCACGATGATGAGAGTAGCCACGATGATGAAAGCAGCCACGATGAGGAATCGGATAGTGAAACGTCTCAAACAAATGAATACAACGTTTTGAAGAAATAAATGTGTTTTAAAACTGAAATCGTGTGCAAACTTTTACCTGCAAAACCACGCGCCCGATTTTAAGGTACAAAAGTTTTCCTGTCTCAAACTCGCGTGCTGAAATGAAAAAAAATAATGTATATATCCACACGGGGTGGGCGGGTTAATCACTTTTTAATGACTCTGTAATATGGAAATATCGACCATAACAACGGCGTTGACAGCGATTTTAACTTGGGCTTAGCAACTCTTAGTTCTGTTTAAAAAATTTCTTAGGTATGTCTGGATTTTTATTATTCCTTATTTAAAGTCCTAAACATGGTGAATACATCCCCATGGAAAACCAAGGATGGTGTTAAAGTAGTGGACACTCGAAGATAATCTAATAAAACCTTGGAATACGATGAATTCAAATACACCTTGTATACTCTATTTATATTGTCATTTATGATTTGGGGGAATTTTGAATAAACTGGGATATCCTCGGAGGAATTCCCCTCGGAATCTTTGCAAACTCCTATAAGTCAGGAATTTTTGTAAAAAAAAATTCTCACTGCGCATGCGTACAATATCTACGTCCCACAAGCATTACAACAACTTTAGTAGAATATATATCGAGAACGTGTTAAAATTCACTCAATTTGTCAGAAAGAACCAGACACAGTACTAAAATGCGGTGCCCTGCAAAAAAAATTTCTGGCGTTTCGCTTACAAGTAAACTTATATAAAATAATACGCTAGAATGGGCCCCTAGATTTCTCCTGTTTTGTTTTGTTTATTTAAACATATTTATTACAGACATTTTCTCCAAGAGCATAGCTCATCGAGGGAGATTATGTCGGATTATTTTGAACTTTAGGTTACTCACATCAAGACAAAGAGGATTACATAAAAAAAAAGATTACATCAAAACAAATCGAATAATCATAGTGTGGTAGAACTTCTGGTATTCATTCTCAAGCTTTCCATGAAACATATTATTATGAGAAATTTATATGGAAGAATTTACCACACCAATGTTTTTACAGACCAATGTTTTACAAAACAAGTTTCAATAAAAAAAAAAGAAAAAAAAGTTACTCGGCCTGAAACCGTTTTGTATTTAAAATAAATAATTGGACATTTTGCATTAATTTTACATTATCTTCATGTCCAAGATTTTCCGACCCATGCAAAAGTATTTCAATTTTCCGATTCTCTGATAAATTCATCCACATAGGATGGAGCAGCCGCGCAGGAAGTGAGAGCAATTGTTCACGTTGGGCAGCAAATCGAGAACAATATAAAAAGTAATGTTTGACAGTTTCCATTTCACCCCATCGACATACACAAAAGGGGGAATTTGCACAATTAATTCTATATAGGTGAAAATTAAGCGCACAGTGACCAAGCCTGAGCCTGGTATGGAGTATTGAGCTATATCTACTTAGTGATGCATTGTATTTTACGTTATATTTTTGTCCACAATATATATTACATAAGGTAACTTTAAAGGAAGACAGCGTCTCTATATTTCGTAAATCTGGATCAAGATCATTCCAGGCAGTTATTGCCGATGGAAAGAAAGATTTTTTAAATCGTTCAGTTCTCACAGGTATATTAGTTAAATTATCGTTAGATCTTAGAAAGTAACTGGATCTTTGGTTTACATATGAAGGCAAAAGATCACAAAGGTAGGATGGTGCAGTGTGGGTAACAATTTTATAAAAAAAGGATAGCTTATGAATATGTCTCCTGGTTTTCAAATCCTCCCAACATAGTTCTTCCAATAGACGATTTCTATTTGTTCCCCTTATTGCACCAGTAACAATGCGAGCTGATTCGTATTGAACTGCTTCTAAAAGATTTGCTTCCTCTATACTACATCCATCCCATATTACATCTGCATATTCCATTAAGGGTCTAATCAGACTTTTATATAAGCATATCAGTGTTGACCTTTTAAGCTTATATTTAACCCTTTTTAATGCGTTCATTCTTTTACTAGCTTTTTGATGTATGCTTAGAATATGTTTTGACCAAGAGAAATTTGACGTAAATGTTAAACCTAAATGTGAATGAGAATCAACTTCGCGTAATGCAGTGCCATTTAAGTATAAGATTGGCTGAGGAAGTCGGTTATGTTTCGTTGAAAATGTAATGATTTCGCACTTAGTAGGATTCAATCCCATCAACCATTCCATACACCATTGGTTAATGCTATTGAGATCCTCGTTTAGTCTAGAATCAAAGGATGATAAATTATCAACAATTTCAAGTAAAGATGTGTCATCAGCGTAGAGAAAACAGTCAGATACAATATTGTTGGAAATATCATTTACGTATATTAGAAAAAGCAATGGCCCGAGCACTGAACCTTGTGGAACACCAGCTTCAACACTCAGCCAGCTCGAGCATTGCCCCTCAATGACAACTCTTTGTTTTCTATCAGACAAATAACTACAAAACCAGCTTAAAAGTGGGTCTTTTACTCCAAGAGATTTTAATTTGTACAATAAACCCTTATGCCATACTTTATCAAACGCTTTGCTAAAATCTAAAAACACCACCTTGGCTAATACATGAAGTTTCTAGTGAGGGAAAAGTGAGCGCGCGAGGACCCACCATCAAATTTTTATCGAATTTCTAAAGCTTTTTCATGTGACGTCTAATGTTACGCTTACAGTTGTTTTGGACTTTGGCCACTGTCAGTTCTATATTTTTTATAACGTTTTGGTTCCTTAGTGTGATAAATCTGTGTATATAGTCTATATAATGTGGTAAATGCACCTAGCAGATATGACTTGACAGATTTGATATGAAATCTGATCTTAATTTACTTGTATGTCAATGAGACGCACATGTTTAATATCTGTCACCTCTGATTGCCCTTTAACCCCTGGTCTTTGCTACTTCAATCTTTGCTACTTCAATATATATTGCTTCTTGTCCTTCTTTTCAGTTCCATTCACAGCTCACTAGTCGCTGCGAGTAATCACTGTGCTTGATATAATTTGTGCTCTTTACTGTGGTTCTATTTGCTTTTAGTGATCGCAGCAATCCCACCCTAGTTTAATATTTAGCACGCTACATTCTCCTGTCGGCCGCCAGTTGGTCCGTACGTTAGGGTCGAAACTGCGTTTTCAAGCCTTCAAAATAAAATATTTTGGGCTCAAAATACTATCAAAATGAAGAGAAAAGTGAGACGAATCCACTGGCATACGGCCGAAAACGAGAAAACCCGGACTGCATTTCTAACTAGTTTAGTAATTTTGAGCGATTTGTAAGGGAAGCCTCACATATCGATTTTGTCCATGAGAAACGTCATATGTTCGCTTCTCTGGAGACCCCCCCCCCCCCTTAGAAACGTCACATATAATTATCGATATTTTGTTCTTATAGTCATACACATGCACGTAAGGTAATTTTCTACGGTCGGCTATTGGCGATGCTTACGCGAGGAATATGTCATCTTCTGCTGATATATCTTTTTTATTATTATATATGAACTTCAAAATTTCCAACGTTTCTCAAAACAACTTTTTTGCATAAAATATTAATAATTTTTAAATAGCGCGTTTTTCTTGAAATTTGAGTGTTTTCAATGAAGGCGTAATAATATAAATGTATAGGTATAGAACAAGTATACGAATGTATAGACTGGTGTTTGTATCAAATTGTTTTCTTTTTTATATTTTGCAAAGATGATTCCGAAATGTTAAGGCTTTCGAAAAAACTATCGAATTTTTCCATGATGTTTACAGAGAAACGTCACAGCTGCAACCACC